ATCCCTTCAATGATGTTAAGGCGTATCTTCCAATTCAACACTTTCTTCTTTGCAGAATCTGATTGTCAAATTTTAGCTTAATGAGCATGAAGTTCGTCAGCCAGTGACAGATGAAACGCCAAAAAATTGTCAAGTGAGAGAAAGTTTACCGAATAGAAAGGAGTCCAAGCTTTTGTTTGGCATATACTCATATATTAATATCTTTTCTTCTCCTTGAATGCAAAATCCTAGAAGCCTCACAAGATTCATGTGCTGGAGCTTTGCAATTAGCAGTGCTTCATTCTTGAACTCGGCCATTCCTTGGCCTGAACTTCCCGAAAGCCTTTTAATTGCCACTTCTCGTCCATCCAATAGTATACCCTGTTAATTTTCTATTTAGCTATTACTTACCAAAATTCACTATAATTTCTCATTGTTATATATTACCTTGTAAACTGGTCCAAAACCGCCTTCTCCAAGCTTATTTGCACTTGAAAAATAGTTTGTAGAAGAGACAATGCTTTCAAAGCTGAAGACATGGAGCTCATTTCTATCTTTCTTATGACCTTTCGGCTTTCCAAATGAGATAGAAGGCGCATCATTGCCTTCCAATTCTCTTATTAGTGTCCTTTGACTAATGTTTTCATCCCCTGATAACATTAAAAGGATCATTTAGAGTTTGAAAATGATAAACACAATAAACACACATACGTGTTGTAGAAAGACGAACCATTTGATGTGCATTTTTTCCATATGATGTAGCAGATAGAGAACACAGTGGGTACGATCATCATTCCTCCAACTACAATGGTTAGCCATAGCCACCATTTATTCCCTACAATGGTTAGCGCAAGCATCTTATTGCAATTGATCAAGAAGGAATCTTTATACTCTGACAATGAAGCAAACATACCTTTGGAAGGAAGGATGAATATCACACGTTCAGACTTTGTTATTTTGAAAAATGCCCTCGATACCCAAATTTCACAGCCACTTCCATCCACATTTGCGGCAGCAAAGGCAAAACACGAACAGTTTTGCAAGCATTTGACCTTACAATCTTCAATAGTCAGGTTTTCACTATCGCTGAATCTGTATCCAGGGCTGGACATTGAACCGTACTCCGAGATGATGGAATCACCGTAATCAAGCGTAGTATCCCTGCACTTGGGAAGCTTTAGCTTTATGCATCCTGAAGAATTGGATTCCATCGTAAAGGAGGAACTATAAGCATAATAATTACAAGAAACTATCACTATCGGGAGTCCTGGAGTACTCGGGTCTCCAATAAACTCCAAAGCAATCGCGTCCTCTGACCCTACTTTTATCTTTGGGAAAGTGAACGGTGATGGGTTTGTAGTGAAATTGAAGTACGTTTCATTCTCATTTTGAGTGAAACTAAAGCGGTAGCCAAAATCCTGCTCGAACGTTAAGTGTGGAAAGTTAGAGCTGCTATGTTGCCATTGTCCACTTCTCCAGTATACATCATCTCGCCGCAATATGACCAGTTGTTTTGTGTCGTTGGGATCCATTCCCAGTGTAAAAGAGCCAGAGGCAGGTGAGTCGTCACTTCTCTTTGATGTCAAAGTCCAACTCAACCCAGTTTTCAAGTTAAATCCTAGTTTCATCCCTGGTAGGAGAGTGTCCGTTGGATGATCAAAACTTTGCCATAAATCCCCCTTCACAGATCCATCTGAATTCAGCTGCTGCAGTACAAAGTTGCCATCGTTCCGTAGGGTGGCATGCGCCTGAATTGGAGTTCTAGTTTGATACAAGGCAATGAACTCTCTCTCACCTGATAAAATCTGCAGGCATCCATTGTGGTTGACTGAGAGAATTCCAGAACTGTTGAAGATTGGGTTGTTCCGGTTTGCAATCCAAACTGGTTCCTGAACTCCGTCAACTTCATAATTGGAGCTGTTATCATTATACCAAATTCCTAAGAAAGATTTATCTGGAGCTTTGTTAAACCGGAAGAATCCTAACCTGAAGCGACCGTTTGATGACTCCAGCAGCTCCCCATATCTGAGCTGTTTGCCTTGCTCTAAAGTGTCAGTCGTAGAACAAGCAGGAATCAGCAAAAATGAAAGACAGAGAAGGACGAGTGATCTGCCCCTGCCATCCATTGTTCCCAAATTTGTAGATTATTCCTATGTTCATTTACAATAAGAAGATTGAATCTTTAAACTAGCTAGCGATCGACGTGGGGCCTGGGTTAGTCGATGCTAGCTTCCTTCTTCTGCAAAGTGATAGCGACAAATTGAATGTTCAGACTTCGAAATTTAGAAATTGAAAAATCAAGAGTATCTCCAAAATCAAAATTTTGATAGTGAAAATTATGTATATATTAAAAATTGATGGATTAAAAATATGTATATTTAAATAAATTTAATGAATTAACTAATGAAATGATTAAAAAAATATTTTTCATAATTGAAAGATTAAAAAAAATATAAAAAATTTAATGAATGAAAATTACCTACCATCTAAAAGTTGAGAGTTCAAAATTGATATTTAATCTTTAAAATATCTAAGTCAAGTCAAGGCTGGCAGGCTGGCTGGTTCAGCAATGGAACAGTGTAGCTTTGAATGGTTAAATTTGACTTTTTAAATAAAATGTATTATTTTATAATTTAAATTGTAATAGTAAAATAAAAATCTTTAAATAAAAATGGTCAAACTTATAGAGTAGAACTATGTTCATTCATGCTGAGAAGAATGAATCTTTAAACTAGCTAGCAGTCGAGAGGTGGGGCTTGGGTTAGTCAAGGTTTATATTGCTTTTTTCCGCAATGTGACAGTGACAGATTAAATGTTCAGATTTTAAACTTAAAAACTAAACAATTAAAAATCTCCTCAAAATTAAAAATTTGATAGTGAAGACAACGTTAATAGCTATTATTCCCTTATAAAGAAATTATTATTCTTTTACAAAGAATCTCTTATATTAAATATGAAGATGTGAGATTCAAACTTTACCTTAAAAAAACTTTAAAAAAAAGATTTGACGGTAAAAAGAGATGAGGGAAGTAAGTTTTTTTAACTAGTCAGGTGTTAAAAATTTTCAATACGCAAAAGACTTGTCAAATTTTGAGTCTTTATTCAACAGCATGTAAGTCTTTAAAGGATGCTCCATTTTCATATCCCAAGTATTTTTTAGGGCTTTTCTTGTAATGTGATAGTGACGAATTGAATATTCAAATTTCAGACTTGAAAACTAAATAATTAAGAGTTTTTTCAAAATCTCAATTTAAATTACTCAATAGTAATCTTCTTCAGTCGAAAATAAAATATTTTGATTTCAAGTCTTATGGTATAATATATATAAATTTATTTATATATAAATTTTACACATTATATTCATATAAAATCTTAATTTTTTTTT